TTTATTTGGCCGCTGCACTCTGTATCCGGTGGTGGGCACCACCTAAGCCATCCTCCCGAGCAAGTCTCCCAGCACGCGGAACGAAACGTCGGACCCCGTGCCGAACGACACGCTGAACACTCCAAACACGCGTCACGGGGGTGTGTACGGCACAGCAGGTGAACACCTGCGCAGAAGTAGGTGCCATTTACATGCTAACGTTCTCATTTAGTCGAATGGAGAAGACAAAACTGTAAAAATTACGGAGGAAAATTACAAAATTTTAATTTTACAACAAAAATCGCCGACTGCCGAACGGACTCACGAGCTCAAATCGTGGCGATTCAATACAATTTTGGATTTTTCACGGCGTACAAAGGTGACCGCATCTCACGATACTGTACGGAAACACAGGTCGTATTTGTCTTATATAGAGAGAGAGAGCCAGTGCAAGGCAAAGAGGGGGGGGGGGAGCCTTGAGCCTGGACTTGGATAGCGGCTGGGAGTTGAGTGTTGAAGCAATCGCTGAGGGATGAACGGTTACACGTCCTGTGTACTTCACCCTCTTGCGTACCGGTGAATTATAAGCGAGTTGCAATACTTAGGCCCGGAGTATTCAGCCAGTTGATGGTGTTTTCTCGAGCCGAGTGTTTTTCACGCTCGTCCTCAGTTGAATGACCTCACAGGGCCGTCGATGTCGCGTGTTTATGCCGTAGATCCGAGATGATGGAAACACAAGTGTGTGCTCTCGTGTGCCCGTGTCCTCCTCCGTCTATTGAGGGCTCAAAGCAAGCGTCCGCTAGGATCGCCACGTCCCCTGTTGGTCCTCGCGGACTGCGGAGACCATAGGTTTTTGCCCTTCATCTACAATCGATGTCGTTCTACATGCAATTTTCAGTTTCTTGATAAGATTGTAAAGTGGTGCAACACTTAAAATTGGTGGCGCTCCTCTGATCAGCCCTGAATGAATTAGATCAGATTCAGATCAGAATATTTATCTATATATTGAAGGAATTCCACGAGCTATAAAGCTCTTTAAGACAGATCTTCAGTCTGGGCACGGGGTAAGAACGTTACAACAATAAACACTATAAAACACGGTCGCAGTGCAAATAACAAGAGAGATCATCAAATCACGCCAAACTGAACCATCCCTATCCTACCAGGTAAAGCCCACTGAAGTATTAACTTCAACCTGTCCACAAATGATAGCCCAACAAAGTGGCTTATCACCTGTACATTTATAGCAGTGAAATATTTTTTTTTCATACAGGGTAGAGTGATGATGCAGTGTTTAAGCGGACTGCACTATAAACCCGGCGACATCAGTTCGATTCCCAACCACGACTAATATCAGTGGCGAGTGATGTCCGAACTGGTCCTGGACACCGCCCTCCCCACCCTTCACCAACCCACACTGACCAACACGATGAAGTATGGTCAAATAAATCCCCATGACTGACGTGGCGAGGACATCCCTTTATCTCGCAGGGAATTGAAACATGGCTTTAAATTATGATTATTGCTTGTGCCGTAATAGACAAGGAGCACAGCTCTTCGCAAGTACTTTAGTGGCAGGGGACCCACATGCCCTTTCTACAGAGTGGTGCAAACGCACCGCTCGCGATGCAAGGGATGCGCTGTTGGCTGGAAATGGAATTCAAAAGTAGGCACACTTTTAAAAGGAGAAAATGTGTTGCACATTCGAAGCGGAGTCCACGGCGTAGCCTCCAGTTCATTCAAAATCATCAGAAAATGTACTTATACTGGACGAATCCGATGAGCTATAAAGCTTTTTTTTATTTTTACAGATGCCCATGAGAGTGAGCCTTGTGGAACGCGTGGCCCTTCCCAGCTCCGTGGGGGGCTACACTCCACCCATCCCTGCCATAATTGCCGTGCTCCTCGCTTTAATTGCAACATTTTCCTTTAATTAAGGTGCCCTTATTAATGATATTTTCTTCCATTAGCAGCGCTTCTCTTGCCTTAATGGCGGTGCCCTCCGTTCTTGCCAATTTTCTGTGCTGCAGCAGAAGCACAACGGGGGTGGCCCCCTGTCATTATACTTCCTCCCCGCGACGGTAATTGAGGTTACGGGGGTGTTTGGTGACATTAAATGATAGCGGAGAAGATTTAATTGAGACAAGAGTCGGGTCAATGCCTTCAGAGGACAGTTTACAGCAATTAATGACGTTTAAAATGTTGCGAGTCGTGTTAATCGCCGGCAAAAAAATGACATTGGCAACCCAGAGGGGGTGCCTCGAATTCGCATCGACGGTGTCCTCGTGTCACCACCGCAACCCTCGAGAAGCGCGGCGACACCTGGAGCCCGCCCGCCCGCCCGCCCGCACGCCCGCACGCCCGCCCGCACGCACGCCACCGCCGAAATTTAACGAGACAAATGCCACACTTCTGCCAACAGGGATCTCGTGCAATGCACGGTCAGTGCCATGCGCGACCCTCTCCCCCCCCGCCACCACCTCGCCCAACGTCCCCGCCTGTGAAACAACGAGCGCATGAAAAACCCTTTCGGCGTAGGCGGTGCCGCACTGGGTGAGGTTGCGATTATGATCACGATGACACGAGTCTTTATTTATAGAACTCCTACCATAGCAGGAACGTGTGCGAACGGCGCTTCACGCAAGTTTTAAGATTAAATAAAACCGACGCATTTGCAAAGAAATATGTAAAAAAAAAAACTAATTAAAAATTACGTAAAAAGAAGCTGAGGGGGGGGGGGATAAAAATAATAAAAAAATGCCATAATAATTCATGAGGTGGACAAATGATATCAGGAGGCTTAATGATAAATATAGGCCTTAACCTTGATTTAAAAGTAGCCACTGTGGTTATGATCTGTGACGCGTTTGGGCAGAGAGTTGCACAGATTCTGGGGGTGAATTGGGGGCAAACACTCCTCCACTTAACAGACTGGGAGGAGCGCATACAATTGAAGAGTATAGATCATTAATACTCCATATTCCAGAAGAACTGCATGGTCAACAGTACAGCAAAATCCTTTGTGGGACTGTACTATCCTCCAATGTCTATGGTCCCTTGCCATCACCATGCCTCACTGACCGACGTGATGAAGTATGGCCGTATAACCCTCACGTCCCGCATGGCGTTGGGAGGCTCTCATCTAGCAGTGGATTGATAAAAGCGCTGTCCATGTGCAACACTGATTTCTGTTTGATTAATTGCTGTGCTTTGTTTTTTATTTGTTTGCTTTGTCGATTTGGTAACCCAGGTTGCTCGTGCAAATGAGCACTATCCTGGTCTCTTGAGGTCACAACTAGCTAAACAAATGAAACAAATAATGTCACGAATAGTATCCTTCAAACAGGGATTGGGACCTATGTCATTTGCAAATTAAATTAATCCATCTCACATCCTGCCCGTGAGTCACAGCGCCTCCACGCTTAACGTATGTATGTTGAACTTCTTTCGCACCGTGCGTAGCCAAACGCGCTAATCAGAGGTACCGGGAAGGAAAATAAACTAAAGACAAAAAGCAGTTCGAAAGAAATGAGTTGTAAATTGGTGATTTAAAAGTGCATACTTGATAATATTTGCTTTCCTAAAATTTAACGGTGTCCGTTTACATGTTACTACTGGAGAAGAGTCACCCTAATTGTTTGAATGTTTCTGTAACTTAATTGTAATTGTACTATCATTATTAAAAATATATATCTGCCCGAGCTGACCTACACTTCAAGCAATATATTTATCATTTAACATCGATTTATGTTTGTGCAATAATTCGATTTCTCACATCACGACGCAGTTGCTTTTGCTCTAAATTTCCATTCTCTTCAACTGATACACTTTTGTTGTTGTTGTTGTTTTGCTTTTGCCACCGTGGTGATCCAGGTCACTCTTGCGATTGAGACTCATCCTGGCACCCTTGAGTTTTCACCTGGTTACTAAAATAAATACACTCGAAGACTCCGATTTGCATTCCCTACTCAACATCTGCGGCGTTGGCGCAGCCCAGTCCCCTGGCCCCCCTCTCTCTCTCTCTCTCCTCCGTCATTGGTGGTGCCCCCCATGCACATCGGGCAGTGCCCGGTTCGGTCTAAACAAAAAAAAGGGAGCAGACATCGTGCTGCTCGTAGCAAACAGCGCAGCTGTCGCGATTTTCACCTGAAGACGGGCGCTTGTGTTGCGTTCGAAACGTCGTGATTTATTTAATTTAATTTCTACCAACGTGACATTACCCAAAGGACCAAAGAGTGTGAAAGTAAACCTTTCGTCTTTTTTCGCGACGTTATCGCCGATCGTGCTATCGGCTTCGCGTCACGAGAAAAGGCACCCACTTCGATCGTTCGCAGAGCAGTGTAAACTTCACGAAGAGAAACAGCCCACGGAAGCGAATATCATGGAGCTACCTCCGAGATCTCTTCAAGGTGAACCTCTGGTGCGAACCGTAGAGGGCAGCACCTTTCCATCTGCCCTGCGACTGAGAGCAACGCTCGGTATCTGATAGTCAAGCCAATATGTTGTATTCTTATAGTTCGAATGCATCCAAATTTAGTGAAAAACCAAATTTTACGTGATGGGTCCTTTTTTGCGTGCAGTCATTCGTGCCAGAGCAACGACCATCGACCCACTTTACTCTTGAGCATCCAGTATCATCACAGGCGGCTTTGCTGCCTGGATCCATGTACCGATCCATGTGCCACCAGTGGCGAGAGAGGCGAAGTCACTCGACATGTTCAGGTCTTCTCTAAAGACTCACCCGTTTCCCCTGGCCTACACTTTCCACGTTCGGCCACTGGACGATGGCCTTTGCAGCATTTTATATTCCCTAACTTCGTGCGTGGCACACTGAGATGTCTGGATGAATTGCACTTCGTAAATGTAAGTTATTGTTAGCCACACTCAATATATCGAGCTGTGCCAGCTCAGTATCCTGACCTCAGAACGGCCAAGTCGCCCGGTCATTTAGAAGCAGCGGACGCAGGCAAACGATCGTCGAGCGCCTTGAGCATCGTTCTGTCTGCTCGGTGTCGCCGCAGCGGACACGGTGGACGTGCTGCGAGTGCTGGATCTGCACAACGCCCAGGAGGGAGTCGCCAAAACAGCGGGGCTCTGCACAAGCCGCCCGCGCTCCGAGCGGGGAGACGTCGCCTTCCGCATCGCCAAGATGGCCCAGATCAGCGCGCCCACCCGACAGCTCTTCCCAGGTACCACACCATGGATCAGTGTACCTACCCGACAGCTCTTCCCAGGTACCACTCCACACAAAATGTGGCGTGCGTTCATTCACTCGTCTTTAAGGGGCATTTCGTTAGAGATACGGCAGTGACAATGCTTCAAGATTCTGCCATGATACAGGTACCCTCAACATTCTACCTGGACTATCCTTTTATCACCACACACGTGTAAGTAAGACTATACTCCGTGATGCCAGACTAATGTTATCCAGTAGCGGCTCAATAAAGCAAACTCTAAGCCTCATCAGCAATCTTTCACTATTCTGTTTATGAGACTCAAAAGGCCAAACCCATAATGCTCCACGACAGCACGCTATTTTATTCTAAATACATCTCTCGATTGTGCGTTTTTTTCAAGGTTTGGTGCTCGGCGCACATATATTAAATACACAATCTGTCCGGTGTGCATTTTTTCGTCAAATGCATTACAGCACATGCTAGAGAAATCATGACGCTTGCTTTGGATCTGTGAGGTTAACAGTGTACGCCTCGCTCGGTAGCCCAGGAGCGGGGCTTTCAATAATCGCAGGCGTGTACGATGTTAATGCATTTGAGAGGCTGCAATCGCTTTTGTGAGCTTTAATCTTCGAAGCAGAATAACCAATTTGGCAAATGCTTTGTGATGGAAAGGTAACTTTACGGGTCATCTCACAGCAGGAGTCTGCTAACCAGCGGCTGACCACATTGTATCAGGGAGATCTGCTTGCCATTGGGTTGACACACAGACACGCGTTCTTGTCTCGGGTTCAACGATTAAAAGGCTCCAACATCACAGTTTGATCTCAGACATAGTGTCTTGTGATCATTGCATAAAAGCCGGCGAGCCCGCGTTGCCATAAGGTTAATGTCTACGTCAAGGTAGACGTTTTTATACGGTTTTTTTGCCCGAATGCAATATCTCTGCTGCTGCTGCTGCCCTTGCTGTGCCTGAGGCTGTCAGTCGAATGCACAGCGGTGAGAAGCGTGGCTTGTCGAGACTTTGTCCCGATGTGGCGTTTTTGACAGCGATGCGCACGAGATGAAAAAAAACAGTGAGCCCTGCTAACAATGCGTTTCCTCCAGCGATTCACTGAATTGTCATAACTCAAGATTGCGATCGGATTCAAGGATTTATTTATTTCAGTCTCCTCTACACATCACTATTTACTTGCTACGAGGAAGGGTGTTTGGCCGAAACATCACCTTTGTTTTTTTCTTGAAGGCTGCAATGCTATTAACAAACGTATCGAGTTTTCTTCTTCTTCTTCCTCTCATATATTAAGTTTTTCTTTGGGCAGTTTTGTCAGCCTCATTATCCTAAATGTAACATTTGCACATCACACGCTTACACATTTAATAATTAATAAACAACTCATTCTAACGTTCAGAATGCTATGCACGTACGGGTATAATACTAAGATTGTAATCAATCTTTCGATGTTACAGTTACTTGCTGTGGAGGTGCTGCTGTGTGGTGTAACGACCACAGTGCACTTCAGTTTAAACAGAGGGCTGCCCCTTCCCCGTCACTCCCCCCCCCTCACCACCTCTGTTCACCTCGTAGTAGAAATAGGTGAGCCCATTGGGAGGTCACATGTGGTGCGGTAAAGTGTGGGTACCTCTTCCACAACTTCTGGCTAGTGTGGAAGAGTAGGCAAAAAACACACTTCGGAGGAGCTCTCGAGAGCTCCCTATAGTGGAGGGCCTTCTGCCAACACGGTGGCATGAGCCAGCAATGGCAGGGCTGCACTTTTACCTTTGCATTTCTTAAGTTACTTGCCCGCACTATATAACCGATTCCAACGTTGTGAACTTTAGGTTAAAATCAATTGAATGGCATAACAATAAAACGCCATCTTCCAGCAACAGACACGTTTTCATTTGGAACAGATACTCGTGAAATTCGGAAAATAGGGCAAACTTGTACAGCGTCGCAGTATAGTTGATCCAAACATAAATCTTGTTGTGATTACACCGCAGTTAAGAGACATCCATCCTGTAACGTAAGTACGCTGTGTGGATGGCTTAGTGCTCTTAGCTCGCGCGGGATAACAAGAGCGTGATTGTGCCCGTGCCTCTAACAGCCCTTGTTGCGCCGGCTCTGTTACAGACGGCCAGTTTCCCCAAGACTTCTCCATCCTGGCCACGGTAAAGCCCAGGAAGGGTCTGCAGGCCTTCCTGATGTCCGTCTACAACGAGCAGGGCATGCAACAGCTGGGCTTCGAGGTCGGACGCTCTCCCGTCTTTCTGTATGAGGACCACACGGGAAAGCCCGTTCCAGAGGAATACCCACTCTTCAAGGGCATCAATCTCGCCGACGGAAAGTGAGTCCTGGATTGCTCGTGCGCATGCGGGTGCAAAGACAGCGGGTGTCATTATTTTTTTGTTTGTTTTAATGGACCTGCTGGTTCCGGGAGACTCGAGCGTGGCAAGAGGGTGAATTGCTTGAGAATGGTCAAGTTGGAAAAGGGTGCGGCCCTGCGATTCACTCCCAATGCTTGGCAAAGGGGGGGGGGGGCCTTCAATCAGAGGCAGCTGTAGTGGGCATTTGTTCTCCCCTTTCATGCTCATCAGATGTTTAATCAGAGGCGGAAGTACCCAGACTTTACCCTACCATACGCGACCTGCTGATAGACTTGTCAGCGACTTCTGGATTGCAAGACCAGTGCACTAATAATAATAACACCACGGTGGTTACCGAATTGTTGTGAAGGCTCTTCTAAAATATGTATTTATTATTTAACCACTCAATACCAAAAAAAACCCTTTACAAACTATGAAGCCATGTTTTCGCTACAGTACTTGCGTAACATTAACTGTACTGGAAAATTAAAACAATGCAAATTATTAGCTGTTCCAGGGAAGCCTCCGAACAAACTAATTTCGCCCCACAAAAGGGCTCTGTAAACGGGGTGTCTTAGAAATAAGTTTCAAGCCACTGGTCCTGAATAAGCGGCTTCAGGTTTCCCCTCGACAGTGCTCGATTAATTTTGTGACTGGCTGCCCGTTGCAGCGGTGCGTCACGCGTGTTTGAAAAGGCCATGCGGTCTCTTCAGTTAGGGGTCTGCATTCCACAAGAGAGCTGCCGATACTTATAGCTGAGCGCGGCGACACAGTGAATGTCCAACACCGCAGAAAGTATTTTTTTCGTATCAATTTGCATTGCAGGGCTTAACTGCTTCATCTTCCACTAGAATATTTGCGGCACACAAATTCTCAACATCGGGCTTTGATCTCGGATCTGTACAAAACTGAGACAAGAGCATTGAGCCCATCAATCTGGTGACAAAAAAAAGTCACGATACAGGCTGAGTCACATTTTTCCTCTTTTGGGTTTTTGAGCGGCATTGGCTGCTCCTAATGGAAATGCCCTCTCGTTGGAAATATGTTATCACAGGAATGTAGCGTTTTCAGAAGATCACACTATGCTAGGTGAGCAACATGACACACGTTTCTGTGGATGCGACGTGAAGAACAAACACCCGTAGAAAGAGACATGCACATTGTCCACATCGTTATGAATTATATGTACATTACCATACACATAGACTATGCATTAGTTGCGCATAACAGCTTTGAGATAGCTATGCTCGAAGCAGAATTTATTTTTAGATCCAATCAACATCATCATCATCATTGTCATCAGCAGACATGACCTATCCACTGCTGGATGAAGGCCTCCCTAAGTCACCACCATCCCCCACGACCGCACAATGCAGTGGTCCACGGGGCTTCAGTGAATCTTTTCGCTCCATTTCTGTGGCGTTCAGATTCAGAGGCATAGGCAGACATCAATCTAACTCTGAAGCAAGAGATCCCAATCAACACAGCAGTCGCAAATCCCCTTTGCCTGCCCTTGAGTGTTGTACGGAATACATTTACAAAATGTTCACTCCAACGTTCGGTACATAAACGTTTTGTTCTTACAATTGCAGCTTGAAACAGACAACTGTACATTTTTGGCGATTTATGTCTGTGTTTGTCCATCCTTGTGTGTTTTTCTTTGTGTCTGTATGAATGCCTGTCTGTCTGGCGTGGTGCTGGCCACCCACCCCCTTGTGTGCTGTGCTGGCTTTCATCGGTGTTCAATAGCAGCACTTGCCCCAACCGTCGGTTCAGGCTATACCGGGGATCTTTGTCTTTGTTGTGTGCGTCATCTGTCTGTCCCTCTGTCTGTCTTTGTCTGTCTGTATGTCTGCTTGTCTGTCCATCTGTATGTGTGTCCGTTCATCTGTCATCTTACCTCAGCGTCTACCTGTAGCTATTTCCCCATCATTTGTTCTCTCGCTGCCTCAGCTATTTTCGGCATCTATTTTCTTAATTTCTTTAATCTCTGACCCACGTGAACCTGTGCTATGAATGCAATTTAGTGCAATATTCTGTTTGCCACTGAGGCTCTAGAATGGGCTACACATATTTGGCTCTCAGATATATACAAATATATATACACACACATGCCAGAGTTAACTTTAATGACAAAAGCAGCAAAAATATGACTTTCAGCAGGGGTCGTCATTAAATTCCTGTTTGGCTCAGTCAACGCAGTCATTAACACACAGCCTCGTTTAAAGGTGGCATGCATTAGCGTTCGCGAGGCATCATTTCTCTTCAGTTACAGGGAACAAAATACACCGGACAGCCATTGGTCAATTCACTGCTGTATGAGGACCTGCCCATGCCGTGTGGATCATGGGGTTTACTTGACCACACTTCGCCATGCCGGTCAGCACATTCATGAATGTTTGCTGCGCTGCCTCTTGCGGCCTACCACGCAGCTCTTTAGTCTGTAACAACCTGTTGTGCATGGTGGTCGCCATATCCAAGCAATATCCAGGCCCAAAACCTGCTGCGCTTCCAAGTTCTGGTTAGATCGCACGTATTTTAGCGTGACCTGATTGAGCATCTGCAACACTTTTCACCGCATAACTTGTTAAGAATGCGTCTTGAATTATATCTCTTCTCTGTCTCTCGGGATGGTCGTAAAAGTGACAGGCAAAGTAAACCCTCGGGTTCAGTGGGTAAGTATCTCACGCTATTCTTTCCGTTGTTTAATTCGACGGTGGGCACCTGAAAATGTTGCTAGGATCTGCAATTCCCTACATTACTTCGCATGTCGTACACTGCATATGGCTCTACAGTTTAACAGCTGGTGCTGACACATTAGCGCAAGTAACAAGGATCGCTTTATTGATAACAAACCTCGGCAAAGCCAAAACCATATTGCCTGGAGATCATGCGATTCTTCGCAGATGGTCTTGCTTTGAAAAATAATAACTTTCCGGGGGTTTCCCGGGGCTTGGCATTGAACTAATTTCGAAAACACAGCACGCATTGCCACCGCGCGCCGCCCTCCTCTCTCCGCGCGATATTTAGTAGGCATCCTATTAAAGGCGCGCGGCACATTTGGCGCAACGAACCGGGCGCACGCGCGAGCGCGTTCACATTTTCTGTTCGTAGCGAAAAACCCGCCGCAGTTTTAAAATCGAACCCGCACGCGTGGCGCCGATGACGACAGCGGCGGCCGTGATCACGGTGGCATTGCGCGCGTAGCGAAGCGTGGCAGGGGGCACGGCGTGAAAGCGCCTGGGCGCCCCCCCCCCCCTCCCCGCTAATGGCCCCTAATCCCCGTTCGCGACATTTCTGGGACGCGCTACGCGACATGCAAAGCGCAGGGACCTCATCATAGTTCGTAGTTTTATTTTTTTGGTATAGCCCTGTGAGCCATTCGGCTCTTGAATCGGGTGCAACCTCAACAAACAAAAAACATGAACAAGAAAACATCTTAAAGTGACTATGTGACTGTGCAAACAGAAAATCCAGGAAAAAAAACAATCAAAATATTCCTGAAATAGCACCGTACACCAACGCTGTGTGCAAAAATCCCAGTGGGATGCATGTCAAACAACAACAACAACAACTACAAGACAACTAAGATTAAGGCCATCAGTCTAACTCCGTACTAACATGGCCAAAACTAAAAAAAACGTTTTCGAAATCACCAAAATAAAAGCCATAATTGCAATGTAACAGCGATCACAGGGACTGTGACCGAATTTTTAACAATAAACTACGCAAATAAATTATAACACCAAAATCTAGAGCCTGCCGCTGGAGCCGGTGGAGGCGGCCAAACCCCAAACCGCAGGGGCCCGAGAGGGAGGGAAGAAGAGGCTGTGGTAGTCACCCAGGCATGAATGCGGCTGGGCTTGGGGAGCGTTCTGCTGCATTGGACCCTGCAGCTAATTTCCCTTTCGACTGATGGCACTGATCGCCTTGTGCCTGCCACCGTGACGGGAGCAGCGGGCGCATCGCCACCGCCCTTCCAGAGCGATCCGGGGTGAACATGACCCAGAGATAAAATAATAATAATATATTCCATGGGTATTTCGGTAAAGCCACGTAGATAGAAAACTAATTTTAAAAAAATATCACGACGTTTCGATCGCAACACAAGCAATCGTCTTCAGGTGAGAGGAGAAGACGGCTGCTTGTGTTGCCATCGAAAACGTCGTGATATTTTTATTATTAGTTTTCTATCTACGTGGCTTTACCGAAATACCCATGGAATATAATAAAAATAATTATAATTAAAGGTGATGATGATGATGAACAAAGCATGCGACTGCGTGCACCGGCTAAGAATTGGCTGTGCCGTTGCCTGTTGTGCGACCTTTTGTTCTTTTAACAAAGCAAGCTGAGCCTTGAATTAAATCTGTCATGTGCAGATGAAGTAAAGCATGCACTCTGTCTCGTAGCCCAACACAACAACGTGTGTTACTTTTGTACACATTAGATGACATGCGCTCAGTTTCAAAAGGTAAATGCGGTTTTAACCTGTTGTTAAGAATTCATCTTCACATCGGTTGGAGCCAAAACAAATTTCAGCGATGCTTAATTTCTGTATCACTGCATACAAATGCGGCATATGATTTTAATTGGCCTTTTTTTTGTTCACCATAACTTCCAAAATTGGCATTTGTGCACCGCATTAAGCCACGTGACTAATTGACATCTCTCCGATGTGTTTCCGGGTTGCACTGCATGTGGTTCGGCATGATGTCCGACGTTTCGGAAGCAAATTTAAGGATTTCACCATTGTCCTCAAATGTTATACAGCGTTTGCCAGCTACTGGTCGTGTTCTGATGTCGTAGGCTGTCCGAACTTATTTATTTGCTTCGTCTGGGAGGAAACCGGAGAACCCCAGACTAAGAGGACTCTGTAGAGGTCCTCTAAGCAGTGACTGCACACTGTAAAAGTCAGACTAATTCATTTATATCTTGATTTGAAGCTTTCGTGACTGCAAAGTCACGTCGGTATAAAAAATAATAAATCACGACGTTTCTAAACAAACACAGCAGGAGGACTGCTGACAGCAGTCGGTTGCTTGTGTTTCGATCGAAACGGCGTGATCTATTATTTTTTCTACCTACGTGACTTTACCAAAAGAACCAAAGAGTAATTAATCGATAGTCTGCTCGCTATGGCGACACATTCTTAAGTGCACTGCATCCAGTGCTCCTGGCTTAGTCACTCAGGAATGGAAAACAAAAACGTCCACTAAAAAAAATAATTTGTCTCACTCGATTGGATCGCACTTCAACCTCAGAGCAGAACGTGTACTCCCGCTGAGGAGGAGGCATTGATTTGCCTGATTCGGCGCGATGACGGGGTAACCGGCACGACTTGTAGCCTGGCGTGTTCAGACAATGACATGGCAGCATCTCTTTACACGTGACAAGAAGGTACGGACGAGGCTGTTGGAACCACTTTCACTACAAGCGTACTTACATTCGCATCCTATTAGCGCGGTTGGCTATGTACGGTGCGAAAGAAGTTGAAAATATGTGCACGCATCAAGCGCGGCGTCGGGTTTAAGTTTGCGTGGGGCGAGCTTAAACAAAAAAACAAAACTTTCAGCAGTGATTGGGAAAGGAAAAGGCGGTTAAAAGTTCGCGTTTAAAATTTGACAGTTTGGCCGGAACAAGTTTGCGCTGAAGAAACATTAGCGGGCGGTCAGAAAGCCGTGCGTGCTTAGTTGTCTTTTGACTTCATCCACAACGTGTTCTCGTGCTGTGTTGCAGCATTTCTCTTGACCCCTTCGTTTCTCATGCTCCTCCACTCTTGGAACTCGCTCCCCCGTTGTCTCCTTCCCCAAATTCCCGTGGTCTTTACTTGGAATCAATCTCAGCAAACTGAGTTCGATCGCCCAGACAAAGCCGGCAAGCCGAATTCTCCAATCTCCTCTGACCTCGCCAAATGAAATGAACGCCTTCGTTGCTTTTGCCGTAATTAGTACTGTTGGTTTCTATCCCCTTCGCGCTATACGCCCGCGGTGCAAGGCCCGGCCACTACCGTGTAATAAATAAATAAATGCAAATCCACGTGGTGCCCAATGATATCGAAACTCGTCCCTGGGCAACCCACCTTCACTCACCCGCACTACCAGTGTGATGAAGTGTGGTCAAACATCTCCCATGACTGACAAGGAATGGCAAGGCCCTCATGTACCCAGCACCGGATTGACTGAGTGCTGTAAAAATATGTCAGTCATGTGGCGGCCATTGGGTGTCAGTCACCGAATTTTCACCGAGACCAGAAGGAGGCCCTTCTGCCAGCAGTGGCATGAGCAATCACCCGTAGGTCGGCACCTTTACCTTTCAGCTTTACCTGCGCTATGAACTCGCTGACCCGAGTTCGATTCCAGCTCATGGCCACTAGTGCCAGTGACGAGTATCTGAACCGGTCCTGAGCCTCGCCTTGGTCGACTCAGCTTCAAATGAGTACCTGGTGTGGTGCGTAAACATCGCCAGTGGGGAGACAAAGGCGGTCGGGCGTGGTGCTGCTCACCCACCCCCTTGTGTGCTGTGCCGGCCTTCATAGGTGCTCGCGAACAGCACTTGCCCCAAAAAGTATCTGAAGGCTATACGGGGGATCTTTGTCTTTGGTATATATCACAATCACCTTTGAGTCTTTTTGTTCATTGCTGCACTTGTTAAAACAAAAAAAAACCTGCCGCCGATAAAGAAATTATGTTTATATTAAACGGAGAGACAGAAAGTCCCAATCCATCTTTTGGACGACCAGGCACCCTTCATCCCTCGCCCCTTTAGCCTCGCGAAGGGGGCGGCTTAACAGCCGTCGGCGGCTGTGCCCCTCCCGTGCAGGTGGCACCGCGTCGCTCTGAGCGTGGAAGGGAAGAGCGTCACGCTCATCCTGGACTGCAAGCGCAAGATGACACGGCCACTCCCGCGGAGCGACAACCCCGTCATCGACGTCAACGGCATCACCGTGTTCGGGACGCGCCTTGCCGACGACGAGGTCTTCGAGGTGAGACGGCCGACTCGCGCGCGGGGAGTACAGAGTGGGGGCCAACATGTTTCATATCAGCGGTGGGGAGATGTCTCCCGCCTCGCCTTGTGTGCAGGAGGTTGTGGGTTCGATAAATCATTGCCGAGACTTTTAAAGTCCCATGTTTTTTGTCACTTGCGTAATGAAAATTACGGGAATAAGCCACTGACGACAATGCATTTACATCTGGTTCTTCCCCCCTCTGGTAGTGTGAGATGTTCTTCTTTCCATTAAATCTTAGGGGCACCACGGTGGCGAGACGTTAGCTGCATCGCCTTGTATAGAGGAGGTTGTGTTTTCGACCCCGACCCTGATGCCTGCTGTATATTTCGAGTTTGCATGTTCTCTCTCCCCGCGTGGATTTTTCTCCAGATCCTCCGTTTTTTCTCTCCACATTTAGAATCAACGTCACGCGTTATAGAGTATTTGGCTGCGATACATTTCCACGCGATGAGCCACTTCGTTGAGCGATCATTTGTGGCCACGTCGCTGCTGAAAAAGAGCTGTGTAGCTCAGTGGGGCATGTGAGCAGGAGCGCCAATATATTACAGATGTATAGTGTAATAGTGCCGGCTGGTGGACAGCAGCGGCAACTACAGATAGTGCACACGCCGGTGAGGGTGTGCACGGTGTGTGGGCAGAGGGGAGGATGGGGAGCGGTGGTGTAGCGGTTAGCGCGCCGCGCTACGAACCTGGCGACCCGGGTTCGATTCCCGCTCACGGCGAACACCAGTGACGATTATCTGAACAGGTCCTGGGCCTCCCCTAGGTCGACTTAGCCTCAAATTAGTACCTGGTGCGATGTGTAAACATCGCCGCTAGGGAGACAAAGGCGGCCGGGCGTGGTGTTGGCCACCCACCCCCTCGTGTGCCGTGCCGGCCTTTATAGGTGCTCGCTAACAGCACTTGTCTGTTAAGGCTATACGGGGGATCTTTGTCTTTGGTGTGTGACCCTTGAACTGGGGCAAGGGTCACGGAGGACCCCATCTGGAGGCCCCTGGAACCTGCTAGGGGGTTCGAGAAGGGAGGCGCGGTCAGGGCAGAGCCAGGCCGCGCTGGGAGCATAAAAGGAGCCGAGAGCGGGGGCTCGGGGCTGCCGGTTCTGGGATTGGTCTCATGTCGTCGTCACTGTCTTCTCGTCGCCGTCGTCGCTAAACGTCTCCGCTAGATATTGTGCTGCGAAGGAGAGCAGTTGGATATCTCAGTCAGCGCCATCAGTGTTAGACGGCTAGCGTTATGTACCAGCTTGGCTGAGCTACAGTGGAGAGTGTGCGGACAAGACCTTCAAAGTTGTTCATAAAGAAGTGCCTCCTAGAAACTCTGTCTCTGAATCGTTGACGCTACAGATGTAACAAATAATCTGACTGTACGTCTGGATTCGATGTGACGTTACACGTTCAAAGCTTGCCGGATTTGTTCCCCGCCAAGGCGGTTACAACGATAATGTAAACCCCCGCTCCTCTGTCCACGCAAGAAGTTCAACTCCAGCTAGTTGACTTGCAGGTCGCGTCTTGTGGGGTGAAGTGTGGGTACACCCACCTCTTCCAAGATGTCTGGCCTGGCTGTAAGTGTAATGCCGAGATCCCGTCTAGAGGGGCTTTCGATAGCTCCCGCCAGCAGAGGCCTATCCGTCAGCAGTGGCACATGCGTGGAATTTCGGCACTTCACCTTTGCCTTTGCATTAATATATATATCTGTACCACATTACATATTTACAAAATATAAAAATAAACAATATAAAATATTAGTTTTATTCAGTTTATCCGTTACTTTACACCATTGTTTGAGCTTCTCCTCCAGCTGAGATGGATACTCAATTTACACACTACTGTAAGGAAAAAAAATATATATGATGTGACCTGTCCAGTGTGTTTTTTTTTTATTTATGTGTCCACCTGATCCGTACATGCAGGACGTGGTTGTGGGATGGTGGGGGGTTTGGAGTGCCCAGTCACAGCACTGTGCTGCCAACCCAGCGATGTTGACCTTTCTAAGGATTCCTTTCGGGACAGAATTTGTCCCAAAGTGACTCGCGACAAATCTAGCGACTTACCAGGGTGAGGGAAACAATACGGATTCAGAAGCGATTCCAGGGTCGTATGAAGGACCCTTGGCAAATTTTAGACGTATAATACTCATGGACTTGTCGATCAGTGGCATTTTTTGACAGCTGCAATTGACGGGTTCTGTCTCGCGACTTTTCTCCCTTGTCGACCGACTTTCTCCGCTTTTAAGGAGTTGCCAAAAAAAAAGAGCTGGTCATGACTCCGAGCCACCCCTTTGCCAAAGCCTCGTGCGAGACTCGTTCAACGCAACCGTGGCTCGTTTCGACCCTCATTGATTGTGACAGGTGCTGAGTCTGTTGACCTCGTGGGGTAACCCGCATTGGCCTGGCTCTGCTTTTTGTAAGACGCTGGGAGTTAGTGGGGTCAGGGGAAGAAGCGTTACATAATCCACTGTCGCGGTTTGCAATAGCTCATTGCCACATGTGCCCTGTCAGTGGCAATGTTCGGTTGAAGGGTGGATGCTCTGTTATATATTTTTGTTCAATTAGCATTTGCTTTTCAATGATTGTACAATGTGAGGTGAAAATTGAAGGCGAGCACTCTCTGAAAAATTATTCTGATGAATATTCACATATGTACATATTTTTTATCGAATCGGATTCTTAAAAACAAACTTATTTATGAAAACCAATGCATGCATAATTATATATATAGGTATTTGATAAGTAATGTTTTCAAGTTCAGTGTAAAACATTTAAAAGTAAATACGTACATATTTGTGAATGCCGCTCATACTTGGAAAATTCAATTCGCCACAGTTTGACTGCCAGCTTTAGAATTTTTAAATATGATTCGTATTCAACAAATCAAAAGAAACAACACCCGTATGGATATTATTTTCAGTTATCACTCCCTTGTGTTACCAATGCCGATGTTTGCGATGTGCAAGCGTGAATGTGCTTGCTAAGTACTCTAGAAACAATACTATTGGAATAACATTGGGAAACAGAAATTGGAACACGTCGATTAGAAAGCATGTGCAGCTAAAGATCCATTACTTTGGCTGTGAAGCAAAGTAAGTGGGCTTGGGACAGGACACGTCGCTCGAAGGGATGGTGACCGCCTGTATATTTGGAGTTTTCATGTCTCTCTTCCCGTGGTCGCGTTGATTTTTTTTAAGGGTCCTCCGGCTTTTCCTTCCACATTTAGAATCAATACGCCTTGGAGTTTTTGGCTGCTGCTATACATTTTCACGGGATGATAATCAACTTCATTGAGCTAGTATTTGTGGCCAGGTCGCATCTCAAAAGGAGATAAATAGCGCAATGGGCCTTACCTGGTAAAATAAATAAAACATAGTAAATGAAAATAATAATGAATAATAAATAAAATAAATCATGTTATTTAGTTTATTTTTTTCCACCTACGTGACTTTACCGAAAGAACCAAAGAATATGGATCCTTGCAGTCGCGAAAACTTCACACTAACAGTGAAGTGGCAGCCAAAGGAAGGAACACGCTCAAGAAGGATGGTGATGGGAGAGATGGAGCGATGAAATCAGGTGGTGGTGGGCAGAATCTAAACGGCTTGCTACATAGCGCGTCCGCGAGGGATGGACGGCAGCGGCAGCTTGTGAACACCTTCATCCAACAGTGGATAGATCATTGCTGATGATAGAATATAAAATAATATTACCCCGTACGTGCATCAGAGCTGCTGTAGTGGAGGGGAATGCAATGTCTGGCTGGGTTAACGTCTTCGTAATTAACATTGGCGGTGTGCGTATTGCCGCTTTGCTGTTTGGTGCAGCTGATGTGAGCACAATACACCGATGAATAGCGATCTTTGTCAGTTTTTATAGCTTGGCACATTCCTTTTTTATGAATTAACATTTCAGATTCAATAAATCACCATATTGATTTGAATGCATTGCTGCTAGGCTTTTTTATTATTAGAGGCAATATTTTTCATTTGTCTCAGTTTGGTGTTTGAGAAATGGCCCAGGAGGTGATTAATTTGACCAAATCTTAAAACAAAAAATCACATCCGAGCCAGCAGTTACTGCAAGAAGCAGCCATCGTGCAGTTTCTCAAGTGGGCTTACCACACATCCTGATTTTCCTAGATCGTCCCATTTCCGAGAAAGCTCTCCTGGGAAATCTATGATCCTTTGGGAGACGTTAAAAGTCCCATGCTTTTGCCAGTTGTGTAATAATAACCACGGTACTAAACCACTCAAGACGATGCATTTGCATGTGGCTCGCCCCTCTTCTGATAGTGTGAGATATTCTTCTTCCCATGACACCTTAGGGATGATGCCACGGTGGTGAGATGTTAACTCACTCGCCTGGCATACAGGAGGTCGTGGGTTCGATTTCAACCCTGACCCCTGTCTTCTTCTTTTGTATGGATTAATAGCAGCAGATTCAAGATGTAACATTAGATTTGCTATCCACTCAATTGTCTGTTCAGATGCAGAGTGGTTCTCGTCCGTTCCTCCTTTAAAGGAGTGAAGACAGCGACAGCAGCGGAGTTTTCACGATGCCGCTCGATGGTTTGGGATTCGTGGCTGCACTCGCAGGCCACCGAATCTTTGATGCGCAAATTTGTGCATCATAAGGTGGCCGCATCGGCCACGCGGCCTGGTCCCGATTCGGTAGATGGTCGACCACTGGCAGCGTGGAAGGTTGAAACCGGGAGGTTCGATGGTAGGGTCCTCGATGAGATGTTTATGTTTGACGTGGGCTGCAGTCCAGACTTGCCTCCATCTCTCGCCTTTCATTTGTATTTGTAGCACGGAGTGAGGCTGCTGTGATGCAGAAGGGGTGCCGTGATTTCAGGCAAACAGGCGGAACTTGGTTGATGTATTGGACGGTGCCGGTTGACGGGAATTTTTTGGTACTCCCCGACGGCCGCTGTTTCACGATGGATTTGCGGCAGAGTGACGTGGGTGAGCACTGACGCCTGCTGCTG